CTTTCTCTGAAGACCCCTTCCAACATATGGCTGCTTCTCTGCCATGTACAATCTCAGAGTGATTACTTTCCTCCATTCACCTCCCTCTGGGTATCCTCTAACATTTACAGTTTGCCTGCTCCAGGATAGCTTTTTCTTTCAAACCCCAATAACATCTCCTTGAGCTTAAAAAAATAGACAATTTTTAAGTATTGAATGAAATTATCTACCACATAATGTTTAACTAAAGCAAAATAATTGCTGTATTTTACTTTATTTCTCTATGTAAGTTTGTATTCAGTTAAATCTTTTGGCTGAAATCAAATTATTTAAATATATTAGAATACTATTTTGATGGCAATGATTACTTTATTTAGCTATCATTTAATTTGTATGGTTATACTTCATCATGGGAAACAGAAGCATAACAGATGCCAGGCATAGCAGCACATGCCTACAATACCAAGGCAGAAGGGTCAAGAGTTCAAAACCATTCTAGAGTACATAGAATGTTCCTATCACAAAGTAAAGTTAATAATAATAATAGAATAATAAATCCTAGGACATCACCCAAGACTGTCCCTCCACAGAGGGCTGGCTTGAGTTTTTCACAATAGGAGTCTACTTCACACATACCCTGACTAGGATGTGCATCTTGGGGATAAATGACTTCAGATATTTCATCCCAGTATCTTGGACTGTGGTTCTCTGTCTCTTCCTGTTGCAGTGATTTTTGAGTCAAAGGGCAGAGTGGACCTTTCAGAGCCAGGTGACTATAGCCTCTGAACATGACCCTGCATAGAGTGAGGTGTCCTTAAATTCTCTTTAACTACCCATGAATAGGTTTCCAAGTGGTAGTCTTATTGACAGGCCCCATTCCACCCTCTGCTGCTTTTCTAGTCTTATCAGAATCCAAATTATCTCTCAAATCTGTAGTGGAAATTGATGACTCCATCCTCTCCAGTGGCATACAGTGTTATTTATATGTCTCTGCTGGAATTTAGCATACAGTGTCTTGTGTTATAGTGATGTATGAATCTTTACTGTCTCAGAAGCTATTTTATAGGCTCACAAAACCAAAGACCTTGTAATTCATTTGTATGCTCTTTCAGCATCCCACAGAGCTCTTTGCTCATAATAAATAGTGAATAGTTGTAGATGAATTAGTCACGTGGTGTTAAAATCCTGTACCATGGCTAAGATTTAAATGAGAGTTTTAAGGCTAATATTAATCACCTTCAGTCATTTAATGTTCAAGGGTAGTTTTCACCAAATATTCTTAAGTATGAAAGAAACCTATGAGGACATAAATCCTAACTCTGTGAATGTTGTGAAAGGTTCAATAACCAGATGCAAATTGGTTAGACCAGTTTTGTTGTAACACAGAAGGTCTGTAAATCATGTAGCCAGGTGTATGAGTTAAGTGTAATGTTTTTGTTATGAGTTGATTATCCAACACTGCAATCAATAACTGTAACTATTTGTAATATGAATGTTGTGTTTATATCTAGAATACATTAGCCCATAATTAAAATTATCAGAGGTATAAATATATTTTTAACTGTTTCTAGTTTCCTCTAAATGGAAAGAGAAAATTTGATCCCTCCCTTTCCTCCTTTGAAACACAGTACATGTTTAATAAGTTCTTAAGGATCAACATAAATGTATAACTATGAGCCCATCAGTTATTAATGTTTTACAAACTGAGTCTCTGTTATTTTATGAGAATACATGAAATTATTGGAAATTAGTCAGTGATCTTTAAAATACTTCAGGACAGTGGTTCTTTCTTAAGCACTTAATGAATGAATGACCCAGTTTTGTATAATATGAACCTAAGTGGTAGTGCCCAAATATGCTATAATATTATACAAATAGGAAATGTTTGTATAAAAATGACCAATGGTTAATAGACCTCACTTTTTAAAAAGATTTATGTGTATGAGTGCTCTATGGACTTTATGCCAGAAGAGAGCTCCAGATCCCACTATAAATGGTTGTGAGCCACCATGTGGTTGTTGGGAATTGAACTCAGGACCTCTGAAAGAGCAGCCAGTGTTCTTAACCTCTGAGCGATCTCTCCAGCTCTGAGATTGTTGCTGTTCTTATACAGGATCTGAGTTTAATTTTTAACACCCATGTTAGGTGCTTCACAACCACCTGTAAATGCAGTTCCAAAGGATCGATGGCCTCTTCTGTCCTCTGCATATATCTGCAACCATGTACACACACACACACACACACACACACACACACACACACACACACACACACACACATTTTTAATTACTTCCTACTGGAATGTCTTAGTTTAGGTGTTTTGATACCATTAAATGTTTGGAGAGGATCCAAAAGCTTCAGTGCTCAGCTTACTGGTATGTTTTGATACTTCTGAGTACATTTATTGAATACAGAACTTAGGAACTTTGAGTTTATTTTCCATATGCTGTCAGAATCTTCCAAGTTGCTTAGCAATGATGAAATTTAACACATGAAAGAGGCAAAGTAGGCATTTCATACCAGTAACAGGTAAGTCACTTAAAGAAGAAAGGACTTAAATAAAAGTGCTACCACAGTGTTGGAAAGTTCAAGTCTTTGGAGTGGTTATCCATCAGCTGTACCTGGAACCTCTAATTGCATCAGATGAGGAATATGGCAGTCATGAAACTCAGAATGAATTTATTTGTAATACTCCTATTACAGAGACCAATAACTTGTCCTTATTTTCAAGTTGAGATAAAACACTCTAGAAAAATGTTTAAAGTACTCTAAGAGAAATGTAGATGCTTCAATGATACATAGACTACTGTAGCATTGGATACTTAGCCAGTTGATTTACACATGTACACATGCCTCAGTTAATTATTTATGTCAAAAGAACACACTTCCATCATCCCAGTATCTTTGGGCTATCCCAGTCTAATGTTCACAGCCATTATGGTTTCTGCTTTCTATTGTTTTCCTTTGCTGTCTTTAGTTCACACCATTTGAGCATCACATAACGTTCTCTTGCCCTTTTGTTGCAATTGCTTATCTCTGGGATAGCTCTGGATGTCTGCTGCTTTGTCTGCAAAAAGAAAAAAAAAAGAAAAGAAAAGGTTAGATTTAGATTATGAGTTACACTCTAAAAACCTACTGATACCCACACATACTAACTTGTTGATTTATTTTTTTTCTGGAGTCTGGTATAGGGGATAATTATGATTTTTTTATAAGTATGACATATACACTTTGGATTAAAAGACCACCGATTCACACTTTTTTTCACTTTATCTATCTTATTCATAAATATAAAAAAGTTGGATTTGAAATTTTGCCTTATTTTCTTCTTACAGAAGGCCAGAGTTCAATTCCCAGCATCACTGTTAGGTGGCTACCAACTGCCTACAACTTTAACTTCAAGGGAATCTGATGCCTCTGGCTTCTGTGGGTACCTGCACTTGCCCTCACACAGATAGATACCCACATACCTACAATGAAAAATAAATCATTTTGAAAAGCCCCCCACACACACACACATAACACACATACACTGTACTAACAACCCCTAAGTAAATAAGAATGCATGATTATGACATCTCATCAAGTATGTCTTGATGACAGCAATTAAACTAAAAAGAGGAGACTATCTGGTACCCTGATCTCTCACTCACCTCCTTACTGAGATGGTCTCTCTGGAGTTGGATCACATCCAACTTCTTACTAGATCCCTGAAGACTTGAACTTAGTCTTCATGTGTGTACTGAAAGCCACTGGTCTGTCTCTCCTAGTCCTTTGTTTCTTATTTCATCTCTTTCTAAAAGCAAAGCAGCATGGGAAAAATTCCGATGTAAGGTTCAGCATCATACCCTTCCTGAAGGCTCAGGTATTGATGGTAGAAAGAAATATATTAGGTTACACTTTGGTCAGTTTTTCTCGGCTCTATTATTTTAACAACAAAGCAATTTCACTAATTTCTATCAGTGTAATTTTTTTTTTCCTGAAAGCAAATGTGTATACCTTGGCCAAGAAAATAGCTCATTGGAAGCCTTGACTTAGAGTCCATTTTGCACAGGTCATATTTAAGAAAGAATATAACATGCCCATTTGGATAGATGGATTATTGGATATATTGTTATTTTCAGGGGCAGCCTTCTTGTGATGCTGAGCATAAGAGGATATGGCCTCTTCATGAGTCCTGTGTAGCTTTTGATGAAAAGTAAATAAGACAGGTTTTAATGCCTTGCCTAGTTATTAACTTTAATATTTTCTTTAACTTATCATTTACCACTTCTTAGAATATTATAAAAAAAACACAATCAACTGGATTTATCTTTAAACAGTTGTCTTAGATGACTTGCCTGTATGATTAAGTGACCAACATTGAGATCAATCTCTTGCCTGGTAGATTGAGTGCCCCTCCCCCACTTTAAATGGTTACAAGCTGTCATATTAAAATGACTACTTAAAGTCATGCACATTGCCCTTTGAAAATAGGAAGGATTGTGCTTACATTTAATCACGGGCTTCCTCAACTGTCAGAATGCAAACACAGCTTTTGAAAGAAAGGTTTTCTGTGGTTTACAGTTAAAAAGAAGTCTCATTTATTTCATATACTAGCTCTCCTTTTTTATCCAGTTTCTGGAATCTTAACAAATACCACTGAATTCACTATCCCACATGCTAATATTCTAGTAATTGCCAGGCTGCGATCTCATCTCAGATGGATGTTTTCATTGAGACTTAATCGTAAAATACAGATCTAGTTTTATGATACATAGGTGGGTTGCTATGATGCAAGAATGCCATTCTTGATTGTGCCTTTATCAATTGTTTGCAAATACCAAAGGGGACAATCGAAGCTTTATGGTCACTCTGTATTCAGCCAAGATAACTCTAGCGAAACTCTGGTAACTCTTTCTAGAATGAAACGATTGTAAAAACTAATTCTTTTTTTTTTTTTTAACTTGTTTCATTCTCGCTCATGTGCTTACTGAAGAGTAATTCTCTAAGTGGCCTTTTCACTACTTTTCATGTTGCAGATTGAAAATGTTGAGGTCTGCCTTAGTTTTCTAGCAGCCCGAGGAGTAAATGTCCAAGGCCTGTCGGCTGAAGGTAAGAAACTATACAGTTATTACCAATGGAATCAAACATTTCTGAGAGAATTTTACATAATGTTAGAGCTGTAGTGTTGCCATGCCAGTCTCCTTAGTTAATGACAGAAATTCATACATGCATAAAACAAACATGATGTAGCGTAGTGCTACTATGTGTTTTAATTATTTAGTTTTGTATTTTCTAGTATTGTTCTTTATGTCAACATATAGGATGGAGATGAATCAATATAGCACTTACATATTATTGCTAATAGCTAATATAGAGATTTTTAAGTTCTTAGATGGATAGGAGATTATATCAGTCCTGGTAAAGCATGGATATGAATGCAAGTAAATAGTATAATTCATGTTCAAATAGTTTGCCAGTAATGCCTTCATGATGACCAAGATAGTAATGCCAGTCAAATATGTGTGAGTGTATGTAAGTGACAATGAGCTCTTATATGCTTAGACCACCAATATCAATAAGTACTGTTTGTGAATATTTTGAGATCATTATAGGTCAGATTGACATTTAAGTAAAAATTAAATTATACTAAGTTGCAGCATGTCAACACAGAAAAAAATTGAACTGGTTCTGTCATTTATTTCCATTCTCAAGTCTCTCTCTTCTGCAAATAAAGGTGACATTTTCAAAATCACCAAATCTAGCATAGCCTCTACCATAATTAAAAATGAAATGATGTTTCTGAAATGAAAATGATGTTTCCTGCGACCTTCCCCCATCATCCATCGTTGCCATGTATTTCTTTCCCTCCATCTGCTCCCCTTTAATCTTATGTGTCATATTTATTAACACGTGAAAATAAAAGTTTATATCTCACTATATTATTAGTGAAACAGCTTAGAAAGGGGTGATTTTAATGTGTTATTAGGAAACATTTATAAAATTTTCCAAAACAGTTCATAAAAAGTCAACCACAAGAAACTGAAATAGTCCTTTCAGATCTGCACCCGTGACAATAGTTTGGAAGCTAATGGCATCTTCAGTCTTATGACAGATACTGAAAAATACTTGAACTTTTTCTGAAACTAATTTGCTTTGAAAACATTTTCTGCCCCTGAAATTGCAAGTATTGAACAGTTTTAAGCTTTTAAATCTTGGTGTCACCAGAATAAAAATAAAAAATATGTTTCTGTAGTATAAAAGATGTTAATAGAATTGCTTTATTTTTTCAGCTTTCTTCATATTTTAGTTTTTCACTAAGTTTTTATTAGCATGAAACTTACACTGTGATGTATAATTCAATTACATATTCAGTGGCTAACAGGCTAATATTAGATTTTAGCTACTAGTTTTGGTACTAGTGAATAAAATTTCACCGTGTCTATATTTTGCTAGGTAAGTGGCCAAAAGCAAGCAAGAAATATTTCCATGGTTCATGTTATATCTCTAGCATATCACAAAGTAATTTTATTAATAAAAAAACTGATTTTGTCTCATTTTTAAAAAGCACATGCATTGATAAAAGATACATTCTAAATTAGGCATACATATAATAAGCCTAATAGAAAAAACTTGTGAACAAGATCGCTTAAGTTTACAGGAAGAAAAATCATTATTTTCACACTGTAGTATCAATGATAAAAATGACTCTCCTAGATCATGGAAATTATAAGGGATGCCTGAGGTAGAAAAAAAAGTACCCATCCCCCTTGTGGGATTCAACTATACTACATAGTCAGGGTTAGCATAAAAGTCATCAGCGAGGAAAAATACTCGGAGCTTGTTAGTGTACCTAAACTCCAGAAGGGAACATGACCCCTCTGGCAAGAATTTAGTGACCAACAGCAAACTTTAAAATATGACCACACATGGAGTATTATCAGGCTTTACATCACTTCTCCTGGTTATTGGGTTATAACTTGAGAACAGGAACGGGGCATGGTGTTGTATGAGAACAGTTGGAAGGGGAGAGTGAATGTAATGTGCTCAAAATACTTTGTGTACTTGTATGAAAGTTTCAAGTTTATACATAAGTATATATTAAAGAGTAGCTTTGTGTTATAGCTGAATTTAAGTACTTGATTTTATTATGCCACATTGGAAAAAAATCTCATAAAGGAATCCTACTTGTTTAAGATGATATGCATGAAATAAATCCCTTAGTGTTATGTATGCATGTTGTTATTTGGTAATATACAGCATGAAGTAAACAGAAATAATGATATGATATATTCTCTTGGAGGCATATGTGCATATTTGAAAGTTAAATGCATACATCCAAATATGTGTCTAGGCTGGCACATGATGATTTGGAAAGAATGTACATTGCTGTAAACCCAATTGATTTAATGAGACATAACATGGCACCAGTATTTGTGAGTACAGGACGACGGATGTTTAAGTAGTTTCATTTCTCCATAGCCAAGTCTATGTGGGCAACTGCTATGTGCCTTTGGGGAGAAAGCAATGTGCAAAATAAAATCATTACCCCAAGGCCGCGAACACATCCTCTTCCAAGAATAAGGAAAACCACAACCCTTAGAGCACTTTTGTTTAGTTGGATTTGTTCCCTTTGCCCCCTTAACTCTCTGTGATATCACAAGCCGCTTTGTAATAATGTTGGCAGAGTTGAGAAATTTATAACTAACTGAGACTATGGAGGGGGCAACTTGTATTGTTATCCTCAAAGATCTGGTTTAAGAGGATTACATCTAGACTTTTAGTCATACAGGAAAAGTGATTCAATTTATGTGACCATGTTTTACTTTTTTTTTTCCATTTGATACAGAAATAAGAAATGGAAACTTAAAAGCCATTCTAGGACTGTTTTTCAGTTTGTCTCGATACAAGCAGCAACAGCACCATCAACAGCAGTATTACCAATCCCTGGTGGAACTTCAACAGCGAGTGACCCACACTGCTCCTCAGTCAGAAGCCAGTCAGGTCAAAACCCAGCAAGATATGCAGTCTAGGTAAGGAAGGGGTCAGGGGATGCATTTAACATGAGTTTGTTCAGACAAAAGTTTGACTTTCTAGGCTATTATGAGCTTAACTTATCTTTACGTGCTTTTATTTTCGTGTGACCCAGATATGTGACTTGTGAAAGAAAGGCTCAGACTCCTTCTCTTTGGATCTGTCATATGTTTAGGATGCACACTGTTGCTCATTTTCTAATGGTGCCGGTTATATGTCTAGCCACGCAAGGTGTCCCCAGTGAAAGCAAAGTCGTGTGGTTTCTACCTCCAGTCAAATACTTTAGTACTTACCATGTGTCTTTTGAATCCTGGATCCTGAGGTATAGTTACGTTTAACTGATAGTTTGTATTGATTAAATCTTTCAAAAGTCAAAGATCATTACTTAGTACTTCTGAGTATTTGAGAACACACTGCATTTAAGATTATGTGTTGTGTATGTATCTGTGTGTGTGTGTGTGTGTGTGTGTGTGTGTGTGTGTGTGTGTACATGTATGTTTTTGTGTAGCTTGAGCTTTGGTCCTTGCAGGTACAGCCTATGTGATTGGGAGAGCTGACTAGGCAAATGAAATCTATAAAGGCAGCCTCGCAGGAGGAACAGGAAACACCCTCTTGTCTAGAAAACCTCCTTCAAAGTTGTAGAAGTGTTCAGTGGACTGAATGAACATCAAGATTGTTTAAGATGGGGCTGGAGAGAGTTCAGTGGTTAGGAGCCTGTTTGTAAATGGACCAGGTTCAGTTCCCGGCACCTATAACAGGCAGCCTATAACACCTGTAACTCTATTTCCAGGGATCTAATGGCCTTTGGCCTCTGCAGGCCATAAAAATAAATAAAGCTTAAGATTTGGGGAGGATAAAAAGATCATGAAGGGTTATATTCTTCACTTAAAGCTAACTGATCATGGTCTTGAATCACATCTCCCAAATAATATGAATGCAACATGCTGGTCAATGTCTAATGAGCTAATAGAACTGTAGGTCACCATGTTTTGAAACATCGGAAAGTGGCCAACAAATACAATTTCAGCTAACAATTTTCATGTCGACCATTAGCTTTGTTCCTGAAGAAAGATAAGCGGGTTAATTTGTTCTGGTGTAAAAATAGGAATAATATTTTGTTAAATAAATAGTGCTAGTTCTCAAATTATAATATTTGAAAAATGTAAAAATACCAGCTTTGTTTAAATATATGTACAGAAATATATGTAACACATAACTATTTATATTTTCTCTTTGAAATCTAATATTACTCAACTTAAACTTTCCTTGATTTCATGTTCACAGCTCAGTATTTAACAGAAAATAATTTAAAATATCAAGACTATTTTCAGTTACCAATCCCTCCCTAATGTCACTTGCTTGACTCCAGAAATTCCAGCCAGCTTTTCTGTGGACCCACTGTCCTGTGTATGTAAACTCAAATCTCTTTGTAAGGTGCTTTGATTCACAGTTGATTTGTGAATGATGAAAAAGTCTAGTTTTACCAAAATGCCATTTACCTCCTCATTCATGTAATAATGAGGATGGATTTCATTGTCCTGCATTCAGTCGTATGAATAATGTTTTTTTCATTAAGCACACCTTGGCTTTCTATGATGTCTAGTGAAATTTTTGCATTTCAGTGGAAACTGAAGGGGAACACGAAACAAAATCAAATGAGACATGATACTATACGTTCCTGGATTTTCTTCAGAAGAAAAAAGAGGGGAGAGGAAAATCTCATTTATTTATTGCTAGTTCATTTTTATACAGTTGCCAAGATGTTGGTTCTTATTAGAGACAACAGAGATACTTCCTAGAGACCAATGTAAGCCATTTGAGTGAACAAGGGGCAAGAATAGTAGTTGTCAAAGAGTAATCTAAATAAAGTGACTTTGTACAAAGCAGACTGACTCTGGAAGTGTCGAAATGTCGTTTGTCAGGTTTTCCCTGACTTTGTTCTTACTGTCCTTATGTCTGTGATGCAGAATTTGTTGCCCAGAATTCCTTGATATTATTTCCTTTTTTGGGATACATGTCTCTTTTCTTCTGCTTCTTGGTGGATATGCATGGATGTTTTGCATTATATGTTATATTTAAATATAAATTGGCTCTACTCATACCCTTTGGGGAAGAGGTAAATTATTTATTATTGCAGGGGTTTAGTAAAAAGTATTCATTCTGTACTTTTCATTTAAGCCTGGATAAACTTTTTTGTTTTTGTTGTACCATATTGGATTTATTTAGTTTTTATTAAAACTTTATTGTCAAGTAATTGGATCAAAAACAAAACATGCACCAAAATGAACCAGCCCCAAATCTATACATCTCAGTGAACTGTGTACATTCTGAAGCTATGGAGCCTCACAGTTTATAAATTGATACTTAATTTAATAAATTTTTATTGTGCCTGCCTTCCTAAGTGTGGCATCCATGACCCAGATAGATTGGTGTTCAATGTCAATTTGTCAATGATTTCTTACACATTTTGAAAAATACAGTGCTTCAGTCATCATACTTATTTCTATTTATATGGATGTAACGTTTATAAGCTATAATATATGTAACAAATATGTTTGTTAAGCATTTGTCCAAAGCCCATAGTACTAACATATATAAGAAAGCAATATAATATCTTCCTGTTAAAATCATGATAATTATTATAGAAAAAACTACCGTCACATCATGATACCATTGCATTTATTTCAAAGTCCTTTCTAACTGCATGGTTTAAATGAAAATTTAATGTATTCTGAATAGTTAGCAAAATTCTTTTTCTTTGTAGACTAATAGAAATTTCATAGGCCACATTCATGCACTTCAATGAGCAAGTGCTTTTTGCTTTTCTGTTCTTTACTTAAAATCATTATAATTGTATATCTCTCCACAGGATGCATTAAGAATTTTTTTTCCCATTTTGAAAATGATTTAAGGTTTTTTTTTCATAATTTAAACATCTCTTACTTAGGCAGACACCTCAAGATTTAATTGTTAAGAGCTCACCTCTAAAATTAGAAATGAAATTGGATTCCAAGTTCACTCATTCCAAATTATGAAATCTAACTAACTCTCTATTAGTTATTTTTCTATTATTATGATAACAAACCTAGACAAAAATAACTTAAAAGAAAGGACATCCTCCATCAAGGGCTTGTTTTGGATCCCAATCTGAACTTAGTTCCAGCATAGCAGGGAAGTTAAGTAGCTCAAGGCAACTGCTCGCATACTATTTACAACCAGGAATGAGTGATGCATGCCAATGCTTGGTGCATTATTTGCATTTGACACAGTTTAGCATCTCTTCCAGGGATTTGTCCCACCCACAGTTAAGATGGGACTTCCTACAAAATTAACCTCCAAAAAGGTGATCCCTTACATACATGCACTGAGACTGAGTAAGCCTTCAGAGATATACTGGGAGACCTGTTACCCTTGTGATTCCAGTTACTCATGATAGGTGACACTCAGCAGCCCATTATAACATCCCTGTGCTTTGGTCTCCTTACTTGCTAAAGAAGATAAAATGTGATGACAAAATATTGTGTAGGAAGTTATATGTGTATGTACATAATACTGAACATGCCTTGGCCTGCATCTTGCAAATGATCCTCAGTATTAGATGCTTAGTCTACATTAGCAAGCCGCTTTTGCTCAGATAATGTTTCTCTGTGGTATGACTTGGCTAAAACACTAGACGATACTTTGACCACCCTTTAAATATTACAGTCTACCCATCCCTGCTCAGAATTGATCTTCACATTACTTTTCTTTTGTCAAAATTCTGACCACTTTCTAACTTAAAATTTGTCTACACTCACCGTTCATTACTTCTCATGCTACCATTCAAAAAGTAAATAGAATGACAGATTTTTTCCCCTATTTTTGTCACTACTAGAGGAAGTATTATCAGAGTAAGTTTTAATGAAACATAACAAGAAATCTATATTATTTCTCTTTCCAGTTTATGTAGGAAAGCATTATATTTACACCTATAAATGCACAGAATGACAGTTGCCATGGGTTCTTGTTAGTATATAAAGATATGACAGTTAATTTCAAGAAGTTGAGAAATGTTGATTATACTAGGAATTCAGAGGGAATTGGAAAGTGAGTGAATAATGATGGAGGGTACAGATAAGCAGGAGTAATAATTTCTAATGCTTCATAGCTCACAGGGTAACTGATTTACAACTGATTGAATAATTCAAAGTATGTAGTAGAGAGGATTTTCCATGTTCATAGCACAAACATTATTTATGTCTAATGTGGTAACCATGCCATTCACCCTAATCCCACCATCTTGAAATGTGTGCAAGTACAGAAAGCTCACACTGTACCCCACAAGTGTACTGCTACTATGTGTCAATTTAAAGTGCAAACAGAAAGGGAAGCAATGAGAAAGATTTATAGTTACAATTTTGAAATCTTTAAAATTAAATTTTTATAAATCCATCAGTTTAGTGTAATACAATAATTAAAATATATTTTTGAGTTACTCTTAACATCCAGCTATGATTAGTCTCAATATGGCAGTTAGAATAATCAGAGCTTATCCAGGTGTATGGAAAGCTTTGCTTCTACTGTATAGATTCAAGATTAATCTTTTTTCGTGTCGTTTATGGTAATCATTGCTGCCTGTGTCCATAGTTCCTTTTCCGATTCTGCATGTGACTTCTGCATTCAGAATATGATATACAGCTTTCTAAGATTGTTACCATCTGTAGAACTGTAAAAAATAAATAGGCCGCATGAATGAAGTTCTGCTTTGTGAAGTCACTGACAGCTGAAACCCATTCATGACTATCACCCCTTTCTTCTGTGTTATGTTTTGCTTAGAAGAGCCAAATGAGATAACAGACCAAGTATTCAGAAAGGACACAGCTAATTTACAATTAATAGCACAGTGAATTTATTCAGCTTCAATTAGAGACTAATAAAGATGTTGATAGCATGACTAATCAAACAAAAATACCACCCTTGGGGCTGGAGAGATGGCTCTGCAGTTACGAGCTCTGTCAAG